AGTGGAGCTGCAAGGCCGGCGGCGGTTGGGGACGGGGTGTGTGGCCTTATGACACACTTCCGGTGATGTCAGGGGGTGTGGCCTTATGACACACTTCCGGTGATGTCAGGGGGTGTGGCATATACTAATGAGTTATGCTAATGAGTTCCCTAGCTCTTTTTCTACAAAACGACCCCTGCGTCTGGCAAAACATCCTGTGAACTGTCTCACCCAGGTTTACCTTGCATTATGGCACTATGGCAGCAATTTAAAGGGTGCTGTCATAGAGGTCAGTGCTTAGTGTACCCTTGTACCCCTCCCCCTTCACTTTGCTTTCTCAGCATAATCATCTGCTTGAGGACAGGACTGTGTGGAGGGAAGATGGCTGAACACAAGACCATGCCCCCACAAACCCTGGATTTGGTTGTCCATGCACTACACTAACCATCTGAAATGGCTGTTATGTTTTTATATAATATTACATTTATATAATATTTTATATTATATATGGTAATCTGGAGCCTGGGGAGGGCGGGGGTTGGGGGAGGGGAGGGGCCTCAGCAGAGCATAATGCCACAGAGTCCACCCTCCAAAGCAGACTTTCTGTAGTCCGGAGATCAGTTGTGATTCCAGGAGATCTCCAGCCCCTACCTGGAGGTTAGCGGCCCTGTTTGTATGGTAATACAAAGTCAGTGTGGTGTAGTGGTTAGAGTATTGCCCTGGGATCTGGGAGACCCAGCTCTGAACCCTCCCTCTGCTATGGAAGCACACTTTGGGCCTGTTGAACTGTCTTAATCTAAGGACCCGTCTCACAGGGTGGTGGCTATAAGCAGGGCTTCTTTTGTAGAAAAAGCCCAGCAGGAACTCATTAGCATAATGGGCCACACCCAACAGCAGAAACTCGTTAGCATATTAGGTCACACCCCTGACAGTGCATCTCATTAGCATGCTAGGCCACACCCCCGTGGCTTCCCTTGGCTTGCCTGGACAAGCTGGCCCTTGGACAGGCTGGGGAAGGCATGGGGAGGCATTTAAATGCCTCCCCGATCCTTCCAGGGGGGGCCCTGGCCCACCCACCTCAGAGTCGTCAGGGGGTCACTCTCCAGGCCTTCCCTCTGTAGCCACGCATGCGGAGGTTTTGGCTGTAGTGGGTGTGGCCAGCTCTGAAGCCAGCCGGAACTCCGTTCCTGTGCGTTCCTGCCCAAAAATAGCCCTGGTAAGGACTAAAGGGAGGAAGGGAGACTCTTGTAAACTCTTCTCTCATTGGGGAGAAAGTAGGGTATAAATATATTAGTAAACGTATTCCTTAGGAGTTTGTCTGTGAAATGGTGCAAGGTTTTGTTCTGTCCCCTATTCTACTCAACATCTATATGAAACTGCTGGGAGAGACAGTGCTCTCTGGGGAGCATATGGGGGAAAGGTGGTCCCTTAGGTATGCCGGTATTAAACCACCACCCCTGTTGCAGTCTAAACTGCCATCCATTGCTCCCTGTTCAAATCTCATTTTAGCCACGAATTTTTAAGGTCCCTTTAGAAAACCTATCTTCCTTCAATCTCAGTCCACCATCCATAATGCAGATCAGCCAGTCCCCAGGCTGGATAGAAGGATTACTGAGATAAAATGTTTAAAGCAATTCGGGAAAGTGTTTATTCATTCAATGTCCACTCTTCCCCCTTCCCATAAGGAGACTAGAGCAACTAGGGTTGCCAACCTCAAGGAGTGGCCTGGCAATCTCATGGAATTAGAACTGATCTCCCGGCTACAGAGATCAGTTCTCCCAGAGAAAATGGATGCTTTGGAGGGTGGCCTCTATGGCTTTACACCCCACCGAGGTCCTGTTCCTCCCAAACTCCTTCCTCCCCAGAGACCAACCCCAAAATCTCCAGGTATCTCCCAACCCAGAGTTGGCACCCTACAGACAACATACATGTCTTTCCTCTCCTCACAGTGTTGTGAGATAGGGTTAGACTGAGAGGGACTGGCCCAAGGTCACTCAGTGAGCTCAGAGGCAGAGTGGGGATCTGAACCCTGGTTTCCCCATTCCTGATCTAACCACACCACACTCTCCTCACACGAGAGTGTGCGTTGCTGGTGCTGCTATTATTGTGCAAAAATCATCACCTGGACGAGGCCTGTTGTACTTGTGTAATGCTATAAGCTGTTCATTTGAAAGAGCCTGCTTTTAAACTGCAGCCTTTCCATGGGATTGTACATCTCTTAGGCTGGCATTTCACAAGGCATCTAAACTGGTATCCGCTCCTTGCAAGCAGCACCACAGGAGTGCAGCTTGGAACCTAAAACCTGTTGTCGCTTCAGAAGCTGGAGAAAGCTGAAAGCGTTTGCAGCTGAGTTCTCTTCTGTTTAGGAAGTGCTCACCCTTTTTTTTTTTGCAATATCAGACTGCTCTCCATGACGTGGTGGAGAGGAAGGGAAGGAAAGGAGGAGGGGGAACCTCCCAGCTCTCCGCCAAGCTCTTGCAAGGGTGAGGCGGAGATACAGGCAATGCCTGAAGGATCCAGTTCCCTTCAGCAGATGAAGCAGGAACCTCTAAGCAAAGGTAAGGCCAGAAGCTCTGAAAGGCAGGGAACAAGCTGCTCTTTGGGCTGGAATCTTTTCTGCCTCTTATTGCCGGGTGGCTGGTTTGGTGGAGACACCTGCCTAGTGTACTTGAAGATTTTTTTAAAAGCACTTTCACAGAGAAAGGAAACACCCTCTTTCTGGTTTCAGTAAATAATTGTCTCATCTCTTGTCTTGGTCTGAGATAAGGAAAACTCACCAAGGTGGCAAATTTCAGAAGAACTGGATAGCACCGTTCGTGTTGGTCTTCAGAGTCCTCTTGGCAGACTGATAAAAATTGACTGATTGATATCATTTTATCCTCCTAGCCATGTGAGGTAGGGAAGGCCAACCAGTGTTCCCTTTGTCATCCCTGATTGGCTTTCCAGGTGATTGGCTTTCCTGTGTAGTGACTGACAGTTGCTCCTAAGTGTTTGTGGCTTGTAGAAAGGGTTGCTGGGGGGAAAACAAAATGGCCCGGGTTTCTCCACAAAAGTGCATAGGCCTTGCAATACAGGGAGCAAACTTTTGAGTTCCCCAGAACTGTTTGTTGTAGGGTTGCTACCTCCAGTCCAGGTTGGGAAATACCTGGAGATTTTGGGGGCGGAGCCTGAGGAGGGCGGGGTTTGGGAAGGGAAAGGACTTCAGTGGAGTATAATGTCATATAGTCCATCTTCCAAAGCATCCATTTTCTCCAGGTGAACTGATCTCTGTCATCCTGGAGATCAAGTATAATCCTAGGAGATCTCCAGCCACCATTTGGAGGTTGGCAATGCTGGTTCCTCAGGTTTGTTGATCAATGGTTTGCAACGAAAAATCAGCAGAGTTTCACACAGATCTGTTAATGAATATTTCCCCATATTACTCCCTCCTGACTCTCAATTAATTTCTACCGGGATTGGACGAGCACTAACTTGTCACACAGATCCCTTAATGAAAACCAACCCTTTGCTTAAAGAAAGGGGAGGGATATTGTGCCCCTCACAAACGAATATCGGTCTGAATATGGTTATAACATTGCTGTACTTTTTTTAAAAAGGAAGCAACGGCAGTACTTGCTCTTAAAATAATATAATCTCGAATGTATGCAAGAGCAGGCCTTTGATCTTGAGGGGGGAGGGAGGGAACACAACGTTCACAGCAGATTCTGCTCAACTGGATGAACATGGAACGTCACTCGCAGCTTCAAGTGTTAAGAAGGATGGGTGGAAAGCAGTGATCCCTCTAAGCTGAGTTAGTGTGAGCTAGCTCACAGTTTTTGAGCCTCTGGCTCACACATTTTTGTCTTAGGAAGGAGGGCTCCTGAGCAAACTAGTTTATGCAGTAACCAAATTGCTCGCTTACAACTTTAATGCCAGTAGCTCACAAAGTAGAATTTTTGCTCACAAGACTCCATAGCTTAGAGGGAACATTAGGAAAATTGCAGTTTGTTAGACTTCTAACAACCAGCTAGGGGGGAGCTGTGCACATTGGTTTTGAGGCTTATTTCTTTAGCCTGCTGTCTCTCACTCCACTAATGCAAAAGCACAGATAACAGCAGCTATTTTTACCCACATGTTTAACACATCAGCAAAAAGAAAGCCCCAAAGCTCACAGCTGTTTTGCACGAGAACAAGAAAAGAGAAGGATATTTGTAAAAAGAACCACAGCGTCCCACATCACTCATCTTCCTCTCATCATGGTGGGAATCAGGAGATACTAACAAGTATCGGGTGAATCAGGAGATGAGTTCTAGAATCACCAACGATACGTGTCTTTTTTATCAGCAACATCTCCAAGTAAATAGAAACATTTCTTATCTGTTATTTTAGCACCGTGCTTACTTTGTTTGCCCATCATAGCAAGCAATTTATCTACTCAGTTCACGGCATGAGGAATATCTGCACAGTGAACTCTTGTGACTATAGTTTTGGTCAGGGGTCATTTCCTGCAGGAGTGCACAGGAGTGGAGCACCGGCAGTAAAGCGCCCAAGGGGTGGGCACATGCAAGAAGCCCCGCCCCCTGCTCCCAGCAGCCCTGGGCCATGAGGAGCAAGAAGCAGTCAGGTAAGTTGCAGTGGGTGTTGCCTTCTGACACACTTCTGGTGATGTCAGGGGTTGTGGCATATGCAAATAAGTTATGCTAATGAGTTATGTTAATGAGCTCTTGCACCTCTTTTTCTACGAAATGACCCCTGGTTTTGGTACTGAATCCTTCGTTCTTGCCTCTACAGCTGTTGCAATGGACACCTACTACATGTTCAGCTATTACTTGATCCAGTTCTGTGGTCATTCCTGGACGTTTACCAATATGATCATGAGGTTCTTGTCCTTTGGGGAAGGTAGGCCTATTTCATGTCACTGCTTTTCATGTAAGGTCCATTTTAAACTATAGGACAGGGGAAAAGGCTGATTTGAGACATTTTAAATTTGATAGATCTCTCACAGAACTTTCCATAGATGAGAGACTGGGATGGTCTAAAAATCCACATCAGACTGTATGTGGTGCCACACACAAACACCCCCTTATGTAAGTACAGTATCTTTAACCATCATGTTAATCTTGTTATTTACAAGTTGAGAAGGCCCATATGGCAAGCACACAGACAACGTGCTGTAATATCAGGTCTGCTTTCCAGAATCCCAGCCAAACTTCAAAACTGCTGTCCAAACCAAGGCCTCTTGCTGGTCCTCCAGATTTAGCTAACTGGTTTTAAGATGGACCCCTGGAAGATGGGAATGAGAACATTTCAGTAGCCAGTGGGCATCTACAGTCCCCATCAACTATCAGGCTGCACCAAAGCCTAGAGAGAAAACCAGCTCTCCATTCTGCCTGAAACAACCATCATGACTATAATGTCCTATTTATTCCATTACAATGCAAGTATAAAATTGAATACGGGGACATTCTTATTCTAATTTTCAATCTATAGTTAACTCACGCTGTCAGATTTCTCCATGGAATTGTTCATGTAGGTACACGACCATCTAACAAAACATCAACAAAGTTGGGGAGCCAGCAACTCTGTCTGTGGTGGCAGCTTCCAGAGAAAGGTGAACTGAAATACAAACTAGGATCCACTCATGTAAAGCCTTTCTCATCATGTACTGCCCCCAACACACACAGTTGCAGTCAACTTACAGCAATCCTGTGGGGTTTTCAAGGCAAGAGACATTTAGAGCTAGCTTCCCATTGCCTGCCTCTGTGTAGTGACCCTGGACTTCTTTGGTGGTCTCCTATCCAAGTACCAACCAGGGTCAACCCTGCTTAGCTTCTGAGACCTGATGAGATCAGTCTAGCTAGGGCTAGCCAGGTCAAGGCATGCAGTTTTGACCTCTGCCATTTTTTTCAGATGGTTACCAGTTTTTGTGTAGTAGAAGCAGTCATTTGTCATGAGCAGATGTGTAATATGGGGGCAGATCTGATGGTCTATACAGAAAGAGTATTCTTTCCTTCTAGGAATCCTGTGGTCACTCCTTGTTACATGCAAGTAACCCCAGCTGCTGGCGCCAGGCTCCAATAGCACTTTATGCACTTTTGAACTGTAATGAGGAAGGGGAATCAAGCAGAAAAGATGGTAAATCCTGATCCACATTAGTTTTTATTAAATTTTGCCATTCCTAACAGATCACTCCTAAGCAGAATTACACCCTTCTAAGTCCACTGAACTCAATGGCCTTAGAAGTACATCCCATTTAAAAGCAATGGCATTTAATTATAGATAACTTCAGTTGGATTGGAGCCATACTGCTGGACTAGTGTTGGAGATTTTCCATCAGCAAAGAGCTACTTGAGGGATTCAAATTTTAACAGTTTCCAGTCCTCTTCCATAAAAGATAAACATTGAGAACTTAAAAACATTTTGCAGTATGATAGTCAGAGGTCATTTCGGGGGGGATTGCAGGGGATCGCAGTTCCCCCGGGTGAGGTACGGGGGGAGGGGCACATGACGAAGCCCCGCCTCCTGCTTCCGGCCGCCCAGCTTCCGGCCCTCATTCAGCCAGGAGGAGGCAGGAGAAGAGGGAGGGTAAGTTGCTTCCTCCCTGCCTCTCCCCACCCCTGCCTGCCTGGGGCCAGGGAGGGCCTTCACGGGGCTTCCTCGCACTCCCGCCAGCCTTGCAGGTCCACCGCCGGGCCCCTCATGGGGCTCGGCAGTGGAGCTGTAAGGCCGCCGGTGGCAGCCAGGACCGTTGGGGGCGGGGTGTGTAGCCTTATGACATACTTCCGGTGATGTCAGGGGGTGTGGCCTCATGACACACTTCCGGTGATGTCAGGGGGTGTGGCATATGCTAATGAGTTATGCTAATGAGTTCCCCTAGCTCTTTTTCTACGAAATGTCCCCTGATGATAGTACCATAATAATGCCCCCCCCCCGGTTAGTTCTAGAACCATGTTCAAATATGGCCCAAATCATGCATCTCACATGTAGCTGCAAAACTGGCTGCCATGTTGTATCCATGACCTGACAACAAGGAAGAAGCCAAGCCATGCAAAATTCCAAGTGGAATATTCCTCTGTATTGGATTGGTCACCATCTTAGCCTAGGGGTTGCTGCTGTTTTAGTCAGTACATCTAGGATAAATGTGCCTCCAGATTACCCCCATGTGGAGTTTCTACACTATCAGCAAACTCAAACCTCCACGTGCTATCATAGAGACAGATATGTCACCATCTAGATTCATTTTCCTTCAAAAATGTTGTTCCGTCTGTTTCTTGCATAACATTCTTTGCTGCTAGAGACAGCTGGGTTGCTAACAATGCAGTCCTATGGAGAGTGGCACCCTTCTAAGCCCACTGACTTCAACAGACTTAGAAGGATGTAACTCTGTTTAGGATTGCACTGCAAAATGTGCATGGGATATGTTCAGAATTTAATCTTTGCCTTCTGGCCAAACTTGCAGCATCACAGGAAATCCTTGAAAAAAGTTAGCCTGCAGAAAACTGGAACAGTACTCACTTCCTGTGGGGGAAGCATGAATTGTAAAGAGATGACAGTTCTAAATACTTCTTTTTCCTTCTTCTTTTCCCCCCTATGTGCTTAAAGATTCCGTGGCAGATACTTTCTATTCTATTGGACTCGTGATGCGTATTTGCCAGTCATTGTCTATACTGGAGCTCTTGCATGTATTTCTTGGCATTGAAAAAGATCGGTTTTTCCCAAGGCTTTTACAGGTATGCAGCATCTGGAACTTCAGTCAGGTTTATTTGTTTTTCTAATTACACAGTGGTTTTTTATGACTGAATCAAACAATCCCCTTCTTTGTGATATAATTTTTAGAGCTGGCTCATAAATACCTGCTCAGCCTGTGGAACTTCACAGCTAAACATGTGAATGTGATCACTCTTTCATACACGCAAGTCATAATGTGGTATGGTACTCATCAGGTAAGAAGCAGGGATCATTTCGTAGAAAAAGAGCTGCAGGAGCTCATTAGCATAACTTATTAGCATATGCCACACCCCCTGACATCACCGGAAGTGTGCACCAGCCCCTCTGACAGGCAGAAGCACCTGGGATCCATTCTTTCCCCCCTCTCCCTTCCCTTCGCCTCCAAGTTGGGCAAAGGGGAGGGAGAGGATCTCAGGCGCTTCTGCTGACAGAGGTGCTGGCATGCCCACAGCCAGCCTGGGTGAATTATAGAATCATAGACTCATACAGTGGGAAGGGACCTCCAGGGTCATCTAGTCCAACCCCCTGCACAATGCCGGAAATTCACCAATACCCCCCACACACCCCAGTGACCCCTGTTCCACGCTCAGAATATGATTAAAAAAAAAAAAACCTCCAGGATCACTGGGGGCCAAACTGGCCTGGAGAAAAATTGCTTCCTGGCCCCAAAGTGGCGATCAGCATTTCCCTGGGCGTGTAAGAAAGGGCCACAAGAACTAAGCACTGATGCAACCCTTCCTGCTCTACCTCTCGTGATTTGCCTAAGTTCACACAATCAGCATTATGATCCTTTTAAAGTTGAAAGCATGATAGAAATGCATTTGTAAGATTATCTGTAAGATACAAGCCCAGGACGCATCTCACTTCTGGCAATCACTTGGAGAGACCCTATCACTCAGCTTCCATTGCCCCCCACACACCCCACACTGGAATAAGAACATAATATCAGGCCATAGCACATTGCAATAAAGCCCCTACAACTGTATACAGAAATACTGAGCTTCCCTACCATTTGCCACAACTAGCCCACCACACAACCAGGATCAAGACTCCTAAGTGGACCAACAGACAGGCATACACTCGTTTGAGAAACTGAGTATTACATTACAACACCTCTGGAACATTACAGATCAGTAGAGGCAGCACTGCACAGTGGTCAGAGTTGCAGATTGATGTGGGGAGACCCAGGTTTGTATTCTCACTCTGCTGGCTGAGTGACCCCGGGCCAAATATCCCCTTCTCTACCTAACCTACCCCACAGGGTTGTTGTGAGGATGAAATGGAGACTCATGGGCAGGGTCCCCAGCTTCCCTGGCAGGAACACTATGTTAAGAAATCTCTCACAATTATGCAGCCATAGCAGGCAGGAGGGAAGGAGGAGAATACCTCCAGCACCAGAGACTTGTAGAGGAAGAGTCAAACTTTGGGGACTCACCCATGCACCAGAGGGCCAAGGCAGCAGGAGGCAAGAAGCCTGGGCGAGCTGGGCTCCTCCATGCCTGGCAGAAGATGAGGTGCAGAGGTGAGAGGTGAGCAAACAGAAGAGGCACTCAGCCAGCCACGCAAGCTGTGTGCAAAGAAACTCCCGCCGCCCCAAGCTTCAGGGCTGCCTCATTAAAGGAGTGCGGAGGCCAGACTCGCAAATGAGAAAAAGCAAGCTCAGGGTTCGTGGGTCGCATTTTGGGCTGTGGAAGAGGGACCGGCTCCATTCCTGGAGTTCTCTCGAGTGCCTGTGCTTTTGGTTTTGCTTTTTGCCAATCCACCTCCCAAGATTGCTCCAGGTGTTCCGGCCTGAGGGCTGCTGGGGGTGGGGCTCGAGTGCTCATTACTTGTGGAGCTGAGGCTCAATGTCTCCAGCTGCTCCGCCACCTTCCCTTGGTTTGCTCAGGATCCCCGTGGCTGCAGAGAGCCCGAGTAAGCTGCCTGCTGGAGGGATGTGCATTCGGTTCGAGAATAGCGGCGGCCATAACTTTTTAAAGAGCTCCTATCGAGAGCTGGGGGAGCCAGAATGACCTCTGCAAGCAGCCATCACATGCAAGAGGTGGAATTTGCCCCTATGAGTCCAAGGCCACCACCCCGGGGCTCAGGGAGGCAAGGGAATGTTTCGCCCCTCCCCTCCCCCCCGCGGGAGCGTTGCAGCTGCCGACGAGAACAGCAGCGACGGCCATAACTTTTTAAAGAGCTCCTATCGAGAGCTGGGGGAGCCAGAATGACCTCTCGCATGTGATGTCCGAGCGGCAACACTGCTGTTCTTGGCGGCAGCTGTGACACCCGCGCGGGGGGGGGACGTAAGAGGGGGAATTTGCCCCTACGAGTTGAAGGCCACCACCCCGGTACTCAGGGAGGCAAGGAAACATTTTGCGCCCCCCCCCCCGCGTAGGCGTCGGAGCTGCCGCCGAGAACAGCGGCGGTGGCCATAACTTTTTAAAGAGCTCCTATCAAGAGCTGGGGGAGCCAGAATGACCTCTCGCGTACCGGAATGACCTCCCGAGTGTGATGTCTGAGCGGCAAGGTGGAATTTGCCCCTAGGAGTCCAAGGAGCATTTCCCCCCCCCCCCCCGCGGCCGTTGCAGCTGCTGGTGAGAACAGCAGCAGCAGCCATAAATTTTTTAAGAGCCCCTAAGGAGAGCTGGGGGAGCCAGAATGACCCCTCATGCGAGAGGTGGAATTTGCCCCTACAAGTCCAAGGCCACAACCTCGGGGCTCAGGGAGGCAGGAGAACGTTTCGCCCCACCCCCCACCCCCCTTGGGCATTGCAGCTGCTGCCGAGAACAGCAGCGGTGGCCATAACTTTTTAAGGAGCCCCAAAGTAGAGCTGGGAGAGCCAGATTGACCTCTCATGGGAGAGGTGGAATTTGCCCCTACGAGTCCAAGGCCCCCACCCTGGGGCTCAGGGAGGCGGGGGAATGTTTCGCCCCCCCACTGTGTCCCAACTGATGGCTGGTGGGAGCAGGGGGCGGGGCTTATGTGCCCACCCCCTGGGCTCCTGACTGGCGGAGCGGTGCTCTGGTGCGCTCCGGCAGGAACCGAGGCCTGGTAAGAAGGCTAAGCATTGCAAGTCAGCCTTTACAATCCTTCCTATCATGAAGAAGAAGAAATTTTGCCTAAACAGATGACCATCTAATGATTTCTCAGCATCATAGACTTTGGGACAAATTATCAAAAGGACACTTCATTCTCCCCCCCCCCATTTTTCCCCATCAAGTCAGCATGGTGACCCCTAGTGGGGCTTGAATGCAAGGGATGTTCAGAGGTGGCTTGCCATTGCCCGCCTCTGCGTAATGACCCTGGTATTCCTTGGAGGTCTCCCTTTCAATTACTAGCCAGGGTCAGCCCTGCTCAGCTTCCAGGATCTGATGAGATCAGGCTAGCCTGGGCTGTCCAGTTCGGGACAAGACAAACGATCAAGACTGGTTTCTAGACAGGCTTCAGATGCTATGTACATGTGGTAAGAATGTAGACACAACCTATTGGCACATCTGCTTCTCTCATTCTGCTGTGACGTTCAGTCTCTCCCAACATGTATAAACACCAGATGCGTGTGGAGGTCACATGTCATCCATGGGCCAGTCATCCATTCTCAGCCCAACCTATCTCACAGGGTTGTTATGAGGATAAAACGGAGGAGGGAAAAGCTGTGCATGCTGCCCTGAGCTCCTTGTTACGAAGGATAGGATTAAAAAAAATACAGTTCTCAATCTCCACTGTTTATCCTTCATGATCTTTGTTTTTATGAGGAACAGATGTGAAGGATGGATGTTTAGCCCAAAGTATGGAGAAAATGTAGCTAAGAAAAGTAAATAGGTTTCCCTCTATTCAGTGGAGTGTTGCATACACTGAAATCAATTTGTTGTTGTTCAGTCACACAGTCGAGTCCGACTCTTTGCGACACCATGGACAAGACCTCACCAGGCCCTCCTGTTTTCCGCCATCCTCTGAAGTTGGCTGAATTTCATGTTCGTTGCATCGATGACACTGTCTAACCATCTCATCCTTTGCCGTCCCCGTCTTCTTTGACCTTCAATCTTTCCCAGCATCAGGGTCTTCTCCAGTGAGTGCTCCCTTCTCATTTGGTGGCCAAAGTGTTTGAGCTTCAGTTTCATTATCTGGCCTTCCAGGGAACAGTCAGGGTTGATTTCTTTTAGGATTGACTGATTTGATCTTCTTGCAGTCCAAGGGACTCTCAAGAGTCTTCTCCAGCACCATAGTTCAAAAGAATCTATTCTTCGGCGCTCAGCCTTCCTTATAGTCCAACTCTCGCAGCCATACATGACTACTGGGAATGCCATTGCTTTGACCATGCGGACTTTTGTTGGCAGGGTGATGTCTCTACTGTTTAGGTGCGCCATCGCTTTCCTCCCAAGGAGCAGGCATCTTTTAATTTCATGGCTGCTGTCACAGACTGCGGTGATCTGGGCTCCCAGGAACGTGAAGTCTGTCACTACTTCCATGACTTCTCCTTCTATTTGCCAAGGAGTGATGGGGCCGGATGCCATGATCTTAGTTTTTTTATGTTGAGCTTCAAGCCCCACTTTTGCGCTCTCCTCTTTTACCCTGAGCAAGAGGCTCTTTAGGTCCTCTTCACTTTCTGCCATTAGAGTGGTATCGTCTGCATATCTGAGGTTGTTGATCTTTTCCCCAGCAATCTTAATTCCCGCTTGTGATTCATCCAGGCCAGCATTTCGCATGATGTACTCTGCATATATATTAAATAAGCAAGGCGACAATATACATCCTTGTCGTACTCCTTTTCCTATGCTAAACCAATCAGTTGTTCCATATCCGGTTCTAACTGTCGCTTCTTGGCCCTTATACAGGTTTCTCAAGAGACATGTGAGGTGGTCTGGTACTCCCATCTCTTTAAGGACCTGCCATAGTTTGTTGTGATCCACACAGTCAAAGGCTTTAGCATAGTCAATGAAGCAGAAGTAGATATTTTTCTGGTACTCTCTTGCTTTCTCCATAATCCAGCGAATGTTGGCAATATGATCTCTCGTTCCTCTACCTCTTCGAAACCCAGCTTGTACTTCTGGCAGTTCTCTATCCATGTACTGTTGAAGCCTAGCTTGTAGGATCTTGAGCATGACCTTGCTAGCGTGTGATATGAGTGCAATTGTGCGATAGTTTGAACATTCCTTGGCATTGCCCTTCTTTGGGATTGGAATGTATACTGACCTTTTCCAATCCTGTGGCCACTGTTGCGTTTTCCAAATTTGCTGGCAAATTGAGTGCAGCACTTTAACAGCATCATCTTCTAAGACTTTGAATAGTTCAGCTGGAATACCATCACCTCCACTAGCTTTGTTGTTAGTAATGCTTTCTAAGGCCCATTTAACTTCACATTCCAGGATGTCTGGCTCAAGGTCAGTGATTATACCGTCGTGTTTGTCAAGGACATTGAGGTCTTTCTTGTATAGTTCTTCTGTGTATTCTTGCCATCTTTTCCTAATCTCTTCTGCTTCTGTTAGGTCCCTACCGTTTTTGTCCTTTATCATGGCCAGCTTTGCATGGAACGCTCCCTTGATTTCTCCAATTTTCTTGAAGAGATCTCTAGTCCTTCCCATTCTATTGTTTTCCTCTATTACTTTGCATTGTTCATTCAGGAAGGCCTCCTTATCTCTCCTTGCTGTTCTCTGGAAGTCTGCATTCAGTTAGGTAAATCTTTCCTTTTCACCTTTGCCTTTCGCTTTCCTTCTTTCCTCTTGCATATGAGCGGGATTTAGGGACCCCTACCTGAGTTTCATTACTCATAGAGAACCTAAATAATGTCACAGCAACTAAATACCAAACTGGATGGGATACTAGTGAGATCTCCAGGATATTTTGATTGCTAAATAGTAGCTGAAGGGGAACAGACTCTTGACTCACGGTGATATGGAGGGATTAATTCTTCTCCCCAGCAATGATTCCCCGGAGCTTCAGGAATCATCAGACGTGTACCTAGTGCACTAGGGGAAACATATTGATATTCATTATGTTTTTTTCAAACTGCTCCGGTGGGATTTTTGAGGTTGAGAAAATGGCACAAGTGGGAAAGGTTAAACTTCCACACCTGGGCCGTGATCTGAACCTCCCCTCCCCTGGCCAATATGTAGCAATGAACACAAGTACAGCACCCTGGCTTGGCTGGTTTTATTCAGAGGCCCCTATCTGGAGCCCAGGAGATGAAGTACGTCTCAAGCATTTAGATCCACCGACATGACAAATCACACAAATCAACCCTACTTGGTACTTGCATGGGAGACCACCAAGAAAACCCAGGGTTGCTACTATTAAAGGAACACGGCATTTTCTCTAGGTTGACTGGGAGTCATGACAGGGGCACAAATATCAGTCACTTAATTGTATTTGTTACTGTGGGGGGATGATCCTGTTTGGATTTTCTTCTTCAAGCATCACAATGTCTGGATATGCCCTGATGCTCTCTGATTTGGTGTAGGGGGTGTCCTTTCTATTCTGAAGCACTTTCTGTATTTAAAAATGAGTCTGTGTGGATTTCACACTGTCTCAATTTCATTTTTCACCTCAAGAGTCAGAGAGAGAGAGGGAAGAATTTTTCTCTCTGTCTGAAGCAGAACCACAGTGTGTATGAGAGATCAGATGATCTGGAGTGATTTACACGTGGGATGAATATTTAGTCATAAATAGGTTAAGCTCCTTCTGTTTTATTTACTGTGTTCAAACCACAAAGTAGTCTTATAGAACGTGAACTGTTGTCTACCAGTCGGGTGGATGCCGTATACAAGAGAGGAAATTCCACTTTGATCTTGAAGAACTGGAGCATGAAGGCACAATGACACCTTTTTTGTTTATATCTTTTCAATGACTGTACACGCTTCCAATTTCAGACTTTTGGTGTGTGTAAAAGAGGGGGCTAAGAAACTTAGATTTGAATAAAGAGATTATGGGGTATTTGGTGTTTTCATTCTGAAAACTGCATGCAGACTCCCAGAGGAAACAATAATCAATCATAATTGATGAAGCAAAAATCGTCCGCTCAATTTATGAGAGTTTTGCTCACAAGACAAGATGCCCCGACCCCATTACAATTTTTCCATGACCAAAGTATACATCAGAGAGGTTAGAGTGAAGAGCTCTTGACTAATCAGGAGTTTCGCTCCTTCATTCTTTCATAACACAGAGATGGTGCAACAAGATAGGCTTGCCAGACTCCAGGTGGTAGCTGAAGATCTCATGGGACTACTACTGATCTCTGAGTGATGGAGATCAGTTCACCTGGAGAAAATGAAGGTGGATTCTATACCCCATTGAAGTCCCTCCCCAAACCCTGCCCCTCCTCAGGCTCCACCCCCAAAATCTCCAGGTATTTCTGAACCCGGGAATGGCAACCTTAGCAATAAGGAATGTTGGCTTGCCAACTCCAGGCTAAGAGATTCCTGGATATTTGGGAGTGGAACCTGGGGAGGACAGGGTTTGGGAAAGGAAGGAACCTCAAGTAGGGTATAATGTCACAACCCTCCAAAGCAGCCATTTTTCTCCAGGGGAACGGATCTCTGTAGTCTGGGGATCAGCTGTAATTCCAGGAGATCTCCAGGCCCCACCTGGAGGCTGGCAGCCCTATTTGTAGGATGGAATATTTTGATGTTTGTACCTTCCCAAAGTGTTCAGGATGACCAGCTCTTCAAGACCTATGGTAATCCTACATTTAATGCCTCAGGTAAACCAACATTTAGGCTGTCTAGATGCCTCCCTCTTTCCTTCCTATTAAACCAACAGAACCTCTTTTCAGGTTAAACGGAACAAGGAAATTTAAACAAGGAAATCCAGAATGACCCAGTTTCACTTATTACTGTCAATGTTTCCTCCATGTAGAAGCTTCTCCCAGTGCTTGGGACAAACTGTGCTTACAACTAGTGCTTGTTACATACCAGATAGAAGGATGAAACAGTGTTCCTGCGACTAATGAGTTTGTAGTTTTAGGCTTTCAAAATTTAATAATCAGTTAGTTATATAGTGGTATATTAGACCAGTATGACCTTTTCCTTTTGAAAGGGCTTCAATGCTCATACTAGAATAGGGCCTCAATGTCCAGTTGGGCCTCCGGCACTCAGAATCCAATTCAATTTTTAAACACATCAGTACCTTTTAGGGCTGCCAGCCTCCAGGTGGGGCCTGGGGATCTCCTGCTTTTACAACTGATCTCCAGCTGACAGAGGTCAGCTCCCCTGGAGAAAATGTCTGCTTTGAAGGGTGGACTCTATGGCATTGTAGCATGCTGAGGCCCCTCCCCAAACCCCACCCTCTCCTGGATCCACCCCCAAAGTCTCCAAGTATTTTCCAACCCAGACCTGGCAACCCTAGTACCTTTGAACATATTGTTTGCTGTTTAAAGTTAACATACCATGATCTTTACCCCACACTGTGTGTTTTGAAGCCTCTTCACCATAAAACTTTCTGACTGAAGCCTGTGGTTATGGAATTGATCCATTTTTTGTCTTGGGGGCAGGGAGTATCTGCAAACACTTCTGTCAATTCCTTCAGTTTAAAGATTACTTAATCAGTATTGAATGGGATTGGTATCCATGTGTTCATGTATATTTTAGGTTCACGTCTCTGGCCATGACTAGGACTTAAATAAATACCCGCAAATAGGAAGGGAAACAGAAGTTCAGCTTGGATGATATATTGCTGGCGGAGATATGTCCAGATTTCCCCTCCCTTCTAAAAAGACTACCTCAGAACAGCCTAACATCTTCCAACTGTTACTTTGCTTCTACTCTATGAACCATGCCTCAGCCTAATTTACAAAAGTCTGTCTCTTGGCAGCTTTTCTGATACACAGATCAGAAACAGGCTGTGTGGGCAGAAACCTACCATCACTGTTCTTTCTTTCCAGATTACAGAAAGAATCATAATCTTATTTGTTGTGATTGCCAGTCAAGAAGAGGTTCAAGGGAAATTTGTGGTGTGCCTCTTATTTTTTCTCTGGAGCTTCCTTGATGTGGTCAGGTAAAAAACTGAGTTACTTTGATTGTATCCTCTCCTCTTTAAGTAAAAGAAAATATCTGTTTCTAACTTTGTGTTTCTTTCTTTTTAAAAGATTATATCATAAATAGAATAGTTCTGCCATTCAAAATGTTCCCCAAGTGGTATGCTGTGATGACAATAGAGATCAATTGGCATGGAAAGCTTGTGGGAATTGTTGGATCGCCGCTAACAAAGATCCGGAGAGTGATTTCAGCAAAGTGATTCAGCTTTATTGAAGTAACGAACAAGCACTTAAACGCATTCATAACCAGAACAGGATAACATTGGGAGCTATGCTCCTTTTAAACAATCCCGGGCTAACGTAGCCACGCCTATTTACAATAAACAACCAATGAGGTTGTGCGGATAAGGACCAATGAGAGTCTTTCCCTCGCAGGGAACTGTAGCAGTTCTGATTGGTCGCTGTTGAAGAGCGACCAATAGGAATTGAGTCCTGAGGAGCCTTTGTTCGGCTCAAGCTTAACATAGGAGGTGAATTAGGCGATTCACGTAATACATTTAATACATTACAGAAATCAGCTCTCCGTGAATATAACAGCTTCCTAGTGCAAACTTTGTTACAGACATTGCAGTATAGTGGACAGAGCGTCACACTAGGATTGTGGAGAATTAGGGTTCATATTCTTGGTCACTGGGTGAATTTGGGCCTCTTTCTCTAACCTACCGCACACAAGCTCTAGCTACGGTATGTTATGTTTTCCTTGGATCCACCCCCAAGTCCATGTGAGCAAGTGTGCATTGTACTTATCTACTTCATTTACAGCCTCTGCCTTTCTCCCCAGTGGGGACCTGAAAGCGACATTGCAGGCTCCTTACTGAGAACTTTACTCCCAGTCATGCCTGTGGGCTTTAGCTCATTGGATTGGTCCCAGAACACAGAAATTGTTGGGTATCCTTTTCCTAGCCTGTTGACAAGAGAGCTTTCTCTTTAAAAAGATCAAGAATTGAGAAAGCAGAGGTGGCTCAAGTGGTTAAGATGCTGAGCTGCAGGCTGTGGAAGGTCGGTAGTTCAGCAGTTCGAGACCCGAGTGCCGCATGACGGAGTGAGCTCCCGTCTCTAGTTCCAGTTCCTGCCAACCTAGCAATTCGAAAGCAAGAAATTGCAAGTAGATAAATAGGTACCACTTCGGTGGGAAGGTAACAGCGTTCCATGCGCCTTGGTGTTTAGTCATGCCGGCCACATGACCACGGAAACATCTTCGGACAGCGCTGGCTCTTCGGCTTTGAAACAGAGATGAGCACTGCAACCCTAGGATTCGACTGGCTTTCAAGCAAGGGAACCTTTACCTTTACCTTGCCTATTAACATTCACTATCTTTTTGCCTACCGCGATATGTGGTCCACTTCTGTTCTTTTATGAAATTTTACGAATGAAAACAAGAAAGTCTGAAAAGAATCTGTGGAACTGAGAAATGATGGTGATTAATCTGTTTGCTTTAGTCTCTGTAGACACCAAGATTTGCACTGAGAGAGTGTTAATGGTCAGCCAAAGAAGAATGTGAGCAAACTGGTATCTCCAAGTTCCTGCAATTTACTTGTCAACCAAGTTAAACGAACCGGGTGCAAACCTGACAATCGCAAGAATCTAAATAACCTTGTACTCTAGACTCCTGGGGAAATAAGATGTCTTTGGTGTGCCAGCAGTAGCCAGCATTCTTGCCCAGCATCTAGATTCTGGAAAAGCTTTCAGTGTACATGATCAAACAAAGCTCAGCTTGACTGACTTTCAAAGCAACATCTCACAGCTTCCTCTCTTTTATTTTCTAGATATACTTACTGCATGTTAGCAGTAATAGGAATTCACTTCCAAGGATTAACACAACTAAATTATGTGCTGTGGATTCTTTTATATCCATTATCAGTGCTGGCTGAAGGTAAAAAAGATCTACAAATCTGATTACGATGACTATTTTAAAATGGTGTCTAAATCTTTATAGTTCAGCTATTTTACAATTTTGTTTAAAGGGCTTTCTAGTAATTTTTTAAAATTCCCAGGCCCTACAAACCACCATGTAAGTCTTACAGCCCATTCCCATGCTGTTTAATTAATCTGCCTTGGCCCATTAATATCAGTATTGTCTACTCAGATTGGCAGCAGCTCTCCGGGATCTCAGGCAGGGGTCTCTTACATCACATACTGCAAGATACTTTTAAACTGGAGATGCCAGGGATTGAACCTGGGACCTTCTGCATACTGAGCAGATGCTCTGCCACTAAGCCATGGCTCCTCCCTCAAAGTAGAGTTGCCAATCTCCAGGTGGTGCCTAGATTTCTCCCAGAATTACAGCTGATCCCCAGGCTGAACTGTATGGTATCTCCCACCCCTCCCCAAACTCCGGCCTCCCAGGATCCCTCCCCAAATCTCCAAGAACTTCCCATCCAGGAGTGAGCAACCCTGATTCAGAGGCATAGCTCATCAAATTCATTGAGCTTTACTCCCAAGTAAGTGTAAACAGGGTTGCAGCCTTGCTATTCTTGAGCCTATAATGACTGCAGATGAAAGGGTACTTGTATCAAATACATAGCTATTTGATAGGCGAAACATTTTACAGTTATTCCACAGTCTACCCAAAGAGGTAAACCATTCTGCATTGCTAAATCAACTTTTCTATTTACAGTTGAAATTTTAGCTGCTTTTTCATTATACTTGACCAACAGAACTATGTAAATACAAAGCTCCCCCCCTTATGCCTACAGAGAATGGCCAATTAACAAAGAGCACCTTGTCTGTCTTAATTATGCGTGCACCTCATACTGTGGGATGCTATACAGCAAGGGGTTCCTAATCTTGTTGAGTCTGTGGGCAGTTCTGGAATGTTAACCAGGAGTGGACACCTCCACAAAATGGCTGCTGGAGTGGGCAATGACAGAATGGCTGCAATGGAGTCCAAGGGCCAGACATAAACTTTTGGAAGGTTGTAAGCAATGTTCCCTCTAAGCTGAGTTAGTGTGAGCTAGCTCACACTAACTCAGCTTAGAGGGAACACTGGTTGTAAGCCAAACACCTTCCTAAGATGGAGGCAGCTGTTTCTGAATGGGTATTCCCTGGGTTCCTACTTTCAATAACATGGATGAAAGCCAGTACTGGCTATTTAGGGGAAAGATTCATTGTTGAAGAGATGACAGGAAACCTACTGGTGTGCATCATGTTACCCTTGGTCACCACACTAGGAATCACTGCTGCGCATGACAGTGTTTCACCGTAAGTAGAGGTCTACGGTTAATAACTCTGGCAGTTTTAAAAGTGTGTCATTTACTACTCATTTATTTTTCTCCTCAGCATTTGCTATATATGAGTCACTGCCTCACTTTGAAACTTCTGGCACTTACTCCATCAAACTGCCCTTGCCGTTTGCTGTGCCCATCTACTTTCCTTATATACTAAAAATGTACATGGTAACGTTGTTTGGAGGTAAGTACAGAACAGAGGTGCCCCTACTGAGACTAACTAACCTGGATATCACAGCCTAGTCTCCCAACTAGGAACTATTCTGGTATAATCAGTTTTGTGCTCAAATCTTGCCTGCCTTCACATCCCTCCTCCACCACATTCCTCCTGCCTAGGCCTCAGGATTCAGGGATCTGCAATGGACAACTGGAGTTAGCCGCTTCTGCTAGTCTTCATTCTTATCTAACCCACTGGAAGGCCAGCTCTAGGCTACTGTGCAAGTGTTAAAGCAGTCTTGAAGTCTGGGCAACTTCAGTATACTGGATGGGGAAACAATATTAGGTAGGTTTCAATCAGGGGTCATTTTGTAGAAAAAGAGGTGCAGGAGCTCATTAGCATAACCTATTTGCATCTGCCACACACCCTGACATCACCGGAAGTGTGTCAGAAAGCAACACCCACCGCTCAGGCTCCACTGGACTGTTTTGGATTGCTAGCTATTGGTGGGGGGACGAACGTGCAGATCTGTCCTCACAGAGGAGGGAGAGCTTGTACCTGAATATAAAACTTGGTCTTAAAGGTGCCACTAGACTGTTTTGGACCAGGGGCCCGGGGGGGGGGCTCTGCAACTTACCTGGCTGCTTCTTGCTCTGACTGAGGGCTGCTGGGAGCAGGGGGTGGGGAGTGGGGCTTGTTGCATGTGCCCGCCCCCTGGGCTCTTTACTGCCGGAGCTCCGCTCCTGTGTGCTCCTGCAGGAAATGACCCCTGGGTTTCATAGGAGTAGCTTCCTAGTGCACACACCTGGAATAAAAACACATATACTCCACCTTTCTCACCAGACTTAAGACAACTAACATGCCAGAGGGCAAGATACATTAAAATCTGCAAATAAACAACCATACAACTGGTCTCAAACACATGGCCCATTGAAAAACTATCCCCCCAAATTCTAACTTCAGGTCCTAACAGAATGCCGTCTGACGTATTCCTTGTACTGAAAGTTGGTAAAGATAACACCCTCCTCACTACTCTTGTAGGGTGGTCCATAAAATTGGCCCAAGCAACAAGAGGGCTTGGAACTGGGCAGAGGAGAAGCATACAAATCTATAATAGGGCACATGAGCTGGATTTGATTGGAAGAGCTCAGTCGGCAAGCTTGGTGTGGTGTTGGCACCTAAAATGTTTGTTTTGAATTTAGGTATGTGCTTCATTGTCCGGCACCTCGATACAGAATGGAACGCTCATCTCAGATGTTGCAACAGCAAAGCAAAAAGCAGCTAACTCGGGTTTTTTTCCCTTGGGCAAGGAGGAAAATGGCTTCAGACATCCTGCTGGTAAACACACTTTGAAAAGCTAAGCACTGACCATATTCTTCAAGCAATAAAGAGACAGTTATTTACCACCAGCTTAAAGAAGTAATGTGATGCCACACGCTCACCGGATAGATCCTCTGAATCATGGCTGCATGAATGAAGCACGTGCGCATAACGGGCATGAGTTGATGAACAGAGCTGATTTCATTTTTAGAACATGTTTTTAGCTTTAATGGCTGTTAAACAAATGTGAAGGCAAGCCCCCCCAAATTCCAGTGACTCTTTACCGGCACAGGAGTGCTTGCAACAGCTCCCCTGTTCACTTCAAAGGAGCACATAATCTGCTGCCTCTATCAAAGCCAGTGGGGAAGCTCCATTTGTGCAGGAGCGCCATGTGCACATGGAAACTCCTATCTTGTGTGCACATTTTTTCTTATACTCACTCAAGAATGTTTAAAAGCTGCCCTCTGAAATGCTCTCTGTTACTAGCACTACCATAAAGTACCTTGAAACTTTCAGGATTCAAAGATCTTATCTGAATTTATGTTGTCGCTTCAGGCAACAAATAGAATTCAAAAGCTGAAGAGCAAGCATAGTATAATGGCTGGAGTGTTGGACTAGAACCTGGGAGATCCAGGTTCAAATTCTCACTCTTCTATGGAAGCTTACTTACAGTCACATGTTCTCAGCCTTACCTACCTCACAGGGTTGTTGTGAGGAGAAAATAGAGAAGAATGATGTAAGCCACTTTGGGTTACCACTGGACAAAAAGGCGGGATATAAATAAATAGATAGCCCAGAAGGCTCGTGCAAGGTACACAAAAAAGACAGGGAAAAAATGAATGGGGAAGAGCACAGAGCGCACAGCTGCCTGAGGAAAAATTAATTTAACCAGCACCAACATAGAGCAACTTGCCAACTTTCATGATTGACAGAAACTATATATATATATATATAGTTGTAGCACTTAAGTCCTACTTTCCAGATGGTAACATAGATCAATAAATGGCATAGAAATGGGGAGAAAAGGGCCATAAAGCAGCCCAAAAACCATGTGGAAAGGTGGAATTACTCGGGAAAGTTATTACCTTACAAAAGCAGCTGCTGAGTAACAGGGCCTGCTGTAATGGCAGGGAGAAATGGGGATTCGTAAAACACATTTAGAATCACAGTATGTTCAGGTGATCATAAAAATAAAACGTTATATACACACAGAGGACTTTTAATGCAAGTGTTTTGATTTTTTTATTAGTCATGCTACGGTGTTGCCCAAAAGCCATGAAAAACCAGTGCAGAGTGTGAAGCAATATTTGTTTTAAAACATACAAGTGCAGGTGAAATGTCTCTCTCTCTTTCCCACCACCTATGTGCTCCTAATCCCAACTCCTCTCATTCGCCCTTCAGGAGAAGTGTATTACCAAGTGCATTTTGAAGAGCAGGAGATAGGTGACTATGAAGTGTGCCAGCCCATAGCCTAGTCCCGTTGTCTCCTTAAATACCATCCCAAGGAGTGAGAAAATTTCAACCAGCAAAGGCCACTGAAAGACCCAAAAGAAAACAGGAGGAGAACAAACACTCAACAGTTCCTTTATCATGGCTGGATTATTGCCTGTAAGCTTTTGACATGCTCACTGGAATGAGGGTTTTGTCCGGAAGAATGATGTATCCAGATGGATCCCTGACTTCATTGGTGTCCATCCGTCCGTCCCCCCAGTTGGTGTAGCAGGTGGTACTCTTGAAGCCCTGGATAATCTCTAGAATGGAGAAATGGCCCAAACAGTTGACATGATTCACCCCCCCCCAAAAAAATACCCTTTTCTCAAAGAAGCAGGGACAACGAAACAGCAAGAATTACTCCTAGACCAACAGTGGTGAATGTACAAATCTAAGTTACAATTTAGTGCCTTTTTAAGGTTCTGATCCTTCTCCAAGAACAATGTCTAGAAGCAATGTTTGTAGACCGCTCCCCCCACAACCACAATTGCCTTTGGGGTTCCCACAAGGATCAAAGTTGTTCCTATGCTAGTTAACATCTATGTGAAACCACCGGAGGAAGTTATCAGGAGTGGATGTCATCCATCTGTAGATGACACTCACCTCTGCCTCTCTTTTCTATCTGATCCTGGGAAGGCTGTGGATTTGGTTCAATGCTGTTAGTCCCCTTTGAGAAATCTGTGGATATGGCTGGTGATAGTCTCCAGTGTTTCCCTCATTTTCATGCTCACGGATACTGATCCTGGTACTACTCTGGCTATGGCTAAATTTCTGGCAGCAGTGGTTTCTATACAGGTATGGAAACAGAACATGGTATTTGTTAAGAATGTTCTGTCCCAAACCACTGAGCCAGTGCATTGTTAAAGAAAGAAAGATAAATGCTGCCACGAATCAATGTGGAGATGGATGAGAGTGAAAAACTGAAGCTTAATTTCTTGCTGGCTGGATGTTGACCCAGGATGTGGGGTTCAGCCTATGCTAGTGGTATACGCTACCTGAAGACCCAACTTTGCAGTTCCAATAATTTGTTGGACCCAGAACTGGTCCTGGATGTTCTAGAAACTGATGTATTAGCTGTGATGACTTCTAGTGAAATCTGACTTGGCCACAGTTACATGTGCCTTGGGAGACTTCCAGACTGGGTTACTCTAATGCCCTGCATATGGCACTGCCTAGCTGGTCACAGTCTGGTTGCCCAACTGCTGATAAGAGTGGCTGGACAAACACTCGTCAGGGATGCTCTAGGCTGATCCTGCATTGAGCAGGGGGTTGGACTAGATGGCCTGTATGGCCCCTTCCAACTCTGTGATTCTATTATTTTAAGCAGTGGCTGGACAACTTTGATGGCTTACAGTTGGTTTCTGGGCTCAGTTTAAAGGGCTAGTTTTCAGTTTTGGATGCCTGGTGTCTTAGCTTGCACCAGCCATTAAGATTTCACATGGCCGAATACAGAAGACCCCTAAATGTAAGGATGTGTCAGTGGTGACCGAGAGCAAGATAGTTCATACCATCGTACTCCCCATTATTATGTATTGGTGTGAATGTTGGACAATGAAGAAAGCGGACAGGAAGAAAGTTGATTCATTTGAAATGTGGTGTTGGAGGAGAGCTTTACGCATACCGAGGACCGCCAAAAAGACAAGTTCATGGGTTTTTGATCAAATCAAGCCTGAACTCTCCCTAGAAGCTAAAGTAACTAAACTGAGGCTATCATACTTTGGTCACTTTATGAGCAGACAGGAATCACTGGAACAGACAATAATGCTAGGAAAAGTTGAAGGCAGCAGGAAAAGAGGGAGACACAACATGAGGTGGACTGACTCGATAAAGGAAGCCACGAGGACCCTCGGTTTGCAAGACCCAAGCAAGGCTGTTAGCAATAGGACATTAGGGAGATCATCCATTCATAGGGTTGCCATAAGTCAGAAGCAACTCAATTGGACTTAACACCCCCCCACACACACAACATATGCATGCTTAGGAAAGGAATACCTAGAACTGCATCAGTACAAGCAACTGCAAAGACCTTTTTGAGATGGATGAGCTGCTTTTACTGATGCAGTTGTAGGTATTCCTGCGAAGAAGAAGAAGAAGAAGAAGAAGAAGAAGAAGAAGAAGAAGAAGAAGAAGAAGAAGAAGAAGAAGAAGAAGAAGAAGAAGAAGAAGAAGAAGAAGAA